TGCTTGGTCCTTCAGAGAACCTTGAGTTCAGGGAAAAGAAGGAAAGAAGCTCAATTTATGCACAGAACTTGCCCTTCTACCTATGTACCTACTAATGCACATGTGTGCATGCTACACACACACATGCATGCACACACACATACAGAGGCACACACTTCCTTTTGCCATTTTTCATCTCCTCTGCCCTGGTTCTGCTCCCTTCTGGTTCTGTGTGTGTTGAGTGTGTCCTTTGCCTGTGCCCTGTGCAGCTCGTGAGTCAAGGGTGAAAGTAAGACCCAGGTGAGTGACAGGTATAGCTTGCAGCTTTCACCCTTTCTTGTCCTAGAACTAAAATGCAAATAGGAGGATTCTCTGATGAAGAAAGACCCCATCCAAGGGAGTCTTTGTTTTCTGGTGCCACCAAGACAAAGCAAGTCAGTGACCAGAATGAGTGCACTCTAAATGGGGGGCCATTAGTGTCCAACAGGATAGAAGGTGACTGCTCTAGAATGGGGTAGGGGAGGTTGTTAAGCAATTAAGTACTTAAGGACAAAGACATGGGTACCTAATTACTCCTTTTATTCTTAACTGCTGTGCAAAGGACCCTTGAACCTCATCTTCGTCCACTGTACTCAGCTAAGAATGCTTTAGCTCAGAACCTGTTCCCTGTTTTTCCTTCACCACTGCCACCCCTGTCCTACCCCATCCCAAATGCCAGTGAGAACCTTTATTTTCCACCCCTCCTCTCCAGGCTGAGAGTCAGCTAGCTCCCTCTGCAAGTGCCTGCCTCTGACCGACTAGAACCATTAACACAGTCAGTCCAGGCCATCCTGACATTTCTGAGCCCCAGCTAATCTCTATTAGACTTATATCTCATAGTGCAACGACTCCTTCCAGCAACTAGCCAGCCACAAGTAAGATGGAAAGTCAGAGGCCCCTCCAGGGAAGTGATGTGCCTCCCATGAGACAAAGTCTGCAAAGGGACTTGCCAGGGAAGGAGCTGGAAGCACAGTGACAGCTGGGTCTCTGGTTTATCCCAGCCACCCTTCCTGTGTCTATCTCCATCACCCTTCCTTACCTTCCTATCACTGCGAGTCAAACTAAGGGGACTCTAATTAGGCAGTCTGCTTAGGAACACCCATCTTGTTTGTACAGGTAAATCCTAAGTAGAAAGAGAATCCCTAAATGATAGCTTGAGGTGTATGGGCTGAAGTTCTGTAATAACTCAACACGTGACTCAGAGAGACAGGTGCATGTGATGCCCAGAGGAGGCGTATGTATGCCACGGACCTTTCCCTTCTTCCACACTCCTTTTCCAATTTGCTGACAAAAGCAAGCCTTTGATTTCAATAATAAGATGGTTTGCATTCCCCCACTCCATCTTTCTAGTTACTCTCATGTGTTTATTTTATGAGCCTCACAATAAACCTATGAGCTAATAATAAAATAATAAATCAACAGATGAGGAAACTCAAACAGGAAGCTAAGGGCATCTTCAAGAGCATCAGGGCCATTAAAGCGCAGGATGCTGCTGCAGGGACTAGGGACTCCCACAACTCGTCAGATTGCTCCCAGTTGTTTGTCTGAGATAGCTCCAGGCCAGGCTGGCCTCGAACTAGCTGTAGTCAGAGGATCACTGTTAATTTCTGATCCACCTCCGTTTCCTATGTGCTGGGACTGTAGGCAAGCTTCCGCAGCAGGGTTATGTAGTGCTTGGGATCAACCCAGCTTCATGTACGCGAGGCAAGTACTGAGCTATTTTCACGCGCTGTTTTTTTTGAGATGAGGTCTTGCCGTGTAGCCCAGTTTGGTCTCAGGCTCACCCCCTCCCAGCCCCCACCTCACGCTGTCATTCTGGGATCACAGGAATGGTCTACCGAGCCAGCTTAGTTTGAGCCTTAACCTTCTGCTTTCTCCACTCATTCATGCAACAATAATTAATGAATCACTTTGCAAAGACACAATGGAGAGACCTGGTAGCAACCCTCAGAATATTCTGGAAAGTCAGAAAAAAAAAAGGCGCACCCTCAATATTTAATCTCAGAGCATAACTACTTCCCTGTGCTATTTTGCATTCACCTGGACCTAGACTGATGAAGCACACTCTTCACAATTCCAGATTTTCCAACATGCATTCACTACATGCTTTATCTCCCTCCAGCGCCAGGGACTCCTCACCTGATGTCCGAATTGGTTGCAGGGGAAGCCGAGAACCACCAGGCGCCTGGGAAAGCGACACTGCAGTTCGTTGAGCTGGTTGAAGTCTCGGGTGGTTGTTCCTCAGAGTGACGCGACATTCTCAATCAGCACCGCCCTGCCTCGGAACGTGTTAAAATCTATCTTCTCCCCATCCAGGCTGATGGCACCAAGATCATAGAAAGACTTGGCGATGTAAGCCATGGCGAAGTGCAGTGAGCCCTACCCAGTCGTGTGAGCCCACTTAAGTCTGGTGGCTGGGTGGGGAGGAGGGAGGAGCCAGGAAGGGCAGACAGGATTTCACCAGGTGCTGTTGGGCATGTCTAGGATGAGTTAGTAAAAACAGGCACCCACCTGCATTCTGTTTGAACAAGGCTGGGGCTCTGCCTGTTTACAGTCTCTAACAAAGCCACCTTCTGTCCCACCCTACTGGCAGCCTGGAAAGAGCCAATTTGATATCTATGAGAGGATGTGAATAATTCACTCTTTGCTGGAAACCAGAGCCTTAAAGGTCAAATAGGGAGGAAAAAAAGGGAGGGAGCGTGCAAGATTGACTCCTGCTTGCCCCAGCACAGTGGTTTTGCCTGGCATAGACATTTTGAAAGCGCATTTATTGAGCGCCAGTCTCTGAAGTGTGAGAGAGGTCAGATGTTCTTAGGTCTGAATGGGTGAAAGATGTATATACTATCGTTATGTTTCTATGCTTTCTAAAGAAGAGTCACAGGACCCTTAGGAGGAGAGCGTCGTTTCCTAGAAGCAATGACTTTCAGTGCCTCTGTTTGCATCAGGCAGAAGGGATGAAGTTGTGTTTGTCTAAGAAAGCCTTTCTGTGAGGGATGTTTCTTGCCCTGGAGAACACTGAGATCTTTGTGCCCGCACTCTACTGTGCCCTACATTAGACTCTCCACCTCCACTCCACACCCCTCCAGCAGCCATGAGGATGGGGTCGCTGCCGGCATAGTGATCAGGAGGAGTCTCAGAACAGATGGTAAATTCTAGGTAGATGAATGGTACCTATCTCCCTCTCAGGCACCGGCTCAGTCTCTGAGATTTCCAAAAGCCTTCTGTGAATATGTGACCATTTCTTCACAGGACAAAATAAACAGGAAGGTGAAGCAGCTGTGGTTACCAAGGATGTCTTCAAAGTCCGTCACTGGTGTGGGGTGGGATGTCTTTGCCTGCTGAGGGCTGTCACTGGGGCTCACTCCAGCAGCTGAAAAGACCATTGTCCAAGCCACCCCCATTATTCGAGCATTGGCCAACTAAATAAGGAGATTTTAAGAAACACTTGACTGATTTCTCCACCTGTAAAGCTATCCATCAGGTTTATCCTGGATAAGGTACATGTTTCCCAGGGTGTTTTCACAGGTACATATCCACTGGGAGCTGTCTCCCAGATCCTAGAAGAGAGTCAGCAAGGCTGAGGCAACTAGTCTTCAGATTTTGACTTATCGAGAGGCAAAGAAACTACGGGCCAGGGAGTGCTCAGAAATTCTGCCTTATAGCTTGTTCCACATATGTTTCAGATTGTAGGGATCATAGTCTCAGCTACAGCTCCCTAAAAACAAGTTTCCATTATCCAAATGGGAACGGAGTCTTGTGATGCCACAAATGGCGTGGCAAGGAGTTAGGTCTTCTGCTGAAACCGCAGAGTCCCCGGAGACAGCCAGTAGGTGTCCCTACTAAGCTGTGGAGTCAGAGGGACCTGGCGGTGATGTAAATAAAAGCTGGATATTAATTTGCCAGGTGTCTCTGCCATTTAGAGCTTCTTCCCCCAGAAGCTCCGGCTTCCGAAGAGATGCCTTTTGTTCACTGTTCCTTTGAAAGCCCTCTTCAAGCGTGCATGAGTCTTGAGTGAGGAACGGGTTTGTACTTTGTTTTCTCCATGAAAATCTAGGGCTTTCACGGGTCCCCTGGATGTCCCCTCTTCTCACAGTAGAGTAAAAATGATGAACTATTCCTAAAGTATTGTCTCCAGATGTGCACACTGCCCCCACTTTCCAAAAGCTTTTAACTTGGGGCACACACTAACAAAGTCTTCCCTGTGGCTTTCTGTCCCAGAGCAATTGTTCTAAGTCTTAGTAGGCAGAAAAGCCTAGGTGGGTGGTTCTCGGTTCTGACTGCAAGAGAATTGCTTATAGAGATTTTTCTAGATAGATATTCCAAAGTTTTTCCATTTAGACTCTAAATCAAGAGAGTCCAAGGCACTGGTTTTTAGTCATAACTGGTTTTTTCCTTAGCCCTTTGTCAAGTCTTCAAAGCTCGTTGAGAACCTGCTTTCTTATCTGTTGAATTCATAAAGATAACCATTCCCTTCCACATAGTGACTCTCCAGGAGTATGGCAAACGGTCTCTCAAGTGCAGTGGAGATTTAGGACAACCACTGCCCTGCTGTTTTATTCTTTCCTTCTACCCACACTCCCATCATTTATCTCTGCGTCTCCACCTCCCTAACACCTTTTCCCATGATCCAATCTGCATCTTCCCCATGGAGTATCCAATGACAAGTCTGTGAAATATTAGCCAGCCCTTCCTCACCTCATGCCTTCAGGAAGGGCCTTCCTCATTCATCCACAACAGAGGGCCACCATTCTGGTGTTCAGCCTCCTCCTCCTCACCCTGCTCCTATAAACTCACAGCAGGGCAGTGGGGGTTTGCTTTGGGCTCTTCTGCAGGTGTCACTAGGGAAGAGGGACCAAGCTCACCACTTCCATTGTCATCTTGCTGTGGCTTTGAGATTCTGTCTTTCACTCTGCCTCCCCTGTCACTACCAAGATCTCAGTAACACCTTCTCCTGGAGATTCATAGGTGCACACATCTGTGGTTGGAAATATTCTTTATTTTTGTAAACATTTGTGTTTAAAATAGATGAATCCTGCTCACAATTCATATAATGGACCCAAGACACAGTACACAAAGTTCACTCATCACAGCCGGGCGGTGGTGGCGCACGTCTTTAATCCCAGCATTCAGTAGGCAGAGGCAGGCAGATCTCTGTGAGTTCGAGACCAGTCTCTTTTACAGAGCTAGTTCCAGGTCAGGCTCCAAAGCTATAGAGAAACCCTGTCTTGAAAAACCAAAAAAAAAAAAAAAAAAAAGGAAGAAGTTCACCTGTCACAGGGAGATGGGGGCTCAGGCGGCAGACCAGGGTGAATTGATCTCTCATGCACAGACAGGCCAGGAAAGCCTACTGAACGGTTCAAGGCCAATGACACAGCCCAAGCCACCCAGAATAGCAGGTGGGGTGAGGCAAATTCAGGAATGGAGTGACCACAGATGCACTCCAGAATCTCAGCTTTCCTTCTTCCGTACTTCAGAGTCCACAGAACCCAACCCCATGTTTTCCCTTTCAGAAGCCTGAGGGTCGTGGAATCAAGTTCTTTCTTGAGGTGTTAGGACAGCAAGACAGTGACACTTGCCAGAGGTTAGAACCAGTGCCCTTGTGTAAATTCTCCTCTTGGACCTCTGGCTGAAGGCAGGCCTGTCCACCTGCTGTGTGATGCTACCTAACTCTTGCTACCCAGGAGTCAGTCCCCAAAGGAGCCACCCAGTCAGTCATGGCCCAGTCTTAGAGCCAGCTCCCTACCTTCCTCAGTGAACAATTCCACAGGAAGCCTGAGCTGCCCTCTCCTGCCGCCCCGTTTCCTAGTTTGCTAAGTCAGGAAGAAATTTCCCGTGAGTCCATCCCCATCTCCCTTCCTGGAGGACTGAAAGGGTGTGGGGCCCTTTATCTTCACATCTGCGCCCTGGATTTGAAAGGTCCTTGGTTGGTAAAAACTCACCCAGGGCCCAGATTTTTTTGTTTTTGTTTTTGCTTTGGCTCCGGCCCCAGCCACGCAGTGCATCTTGGGACTATTCTCTTACCTGAGCTCCTCCCACCTTGGGGAATGTGAGGACGACCCCTAGCGTGGGCTTTTGCTTCTTGTAGAGGCCTCCTTCAAGCTATCCTTGGACCACAGGGAGTTAAAGAAACTTCCTGAGCATGGACCTCTGGAGGAGAGCATCCTTTTTACTCCCTTGGTAGCTACTCGGCAGTTGGCAATGCTACAAGCCTACTTACCAGTTAGAGGGCAAGAGGAGGGAGTCTTGGAAGGCAGACTGCTTCTCTCCCCATGTTTTAAGGCCTATTGCCCACAGACTCTGGGACCCAGGAAAATCTTAACTTCTGAAGGCTGGGTTCAGTAAAAGAACAGTGACTCACCTTTGCCAGGGAGTCTGGGGAAATAGTCTTACACAAGAGGCCCCCCGCTGCTGCTACTACAATCAGTTTCCTGAAGTGCACTCTGCCCTTGTCCTAACCTTACTATCTAGGAGCGAGCCCTTCACAACTGCTTTAACCTTTGTCTAGAGTTAATGGCCGACCATGCAGTGTCTGACCCCAGGATTGCCCCTGTCCCTTAGTGTCCTCAGGCCTCGATCCTCATCTTTAAATTCGGGAATCTAGGTGAAGAGGTCATGTACTCACTGCACGGGAGGTAGAATAGAGGTGACTTGTCCCTGCCACTCCTCATCCTTTTGGTTTTGTCTCTGCTCACAGAGACCCAGTTCCTCACAGAGGCCTGTAGGCAGCCAGGCAAAAAGCAAAGGCAGAGGAGGCCAGCCCAGGTCTGAGGCCCACCAAGTAGTGTTTTCTTCCTATCTCAGTGTTCTACTTTCCCAGGTCACTGGGGAGGCAGCCCATGGCACAAGGAGGGACGGCGGGGAGGGGGAAGAAGCAGCACCCATAGCCCTTAAGCTCACCCCAGAGCAGGGTGGCTTGTCCTCCCTGGGGCAGAGCCTAGGTCCATTCCCTTAGGCAGAGTCAGGAAGAAAGGAAAAGCAAAGAAGGGAGGGAGGGAGAGAGGGAGAAAGGGAGGACCCGCAATAGCAGCCACACAGCAGAACACAGGCAAAGGAGGAAGAGAGACAGGGATGCCAAATACACTGGAGGGAAGTGGGTGGAGGAAGAGCAGAAAGAAGAGAAAAAGCAGAGTACTCGAGATGCACTAAGAAATGAGTCTTCAAGTGGCCTTGACTCCAGCCTTGACCATTGTCCCAGGAGCGTGGGGTGGCAAGATGGTCACAGCACATTCTGGGGTCACAGCGGGCCTGTGGCTGGGAAACAGGCTGAAGGTCACCACTCCAGGAGGGGCTGGGGGCACAGGCTGCTCAGAGCCACAATAGAGCTGCTCACGGGGCCAGGCAGGGGAGTAGCAGCTACTGATTTTCGACAGGGTCATCAAAGAAAGGACAGCAGTAGGCAAAGCCCAGGCTCCCCTGCTTCCACGGGCCTCCTGAGGGAAGGGAGTCGCGGGGGGATTCCACACAGGATCCTCAGCACCAGCAGGTCTTTGAAGAGTTCGCTGGGCCCTCAGGTTTGCCTTCTTCTTCCTCCAGTTCTGCCAATGCTAGCTCATTGCTGGTACGTGTTCGGAGACCATCCAGCTCTTTCCTGTGGGCCTGCAGCACCAGCTCCGTCAGACGAGTGAAGGACTGGGAAGCCAAGGAGCACAAGTTAGTCCAGTGTCCCCATTCTCTGCTTCTGGTAACCCCGCCGCTGCCCAAGGTGGAAGGGGTCTCCCATCTTATCCTGGCTCCTATTTGCCACCTCTTCTACCCATCCCTTCTGGGCTCAGCCAGGGACAGGGTAGCAGTCCTGTGTTCTCACCTCTTTGATGTTGAGGTTGGTGCAGGCACTTGTTTCGTAGAAGTCCATGCCATATTCCTTAGCCAGCTGCAAGACAAGGGCAGTTCTGAAAGAGAGGCAGTGAGGGAAGGAGGCCCGTGCCACCTGGTTTGTGCCTCTGCCATCGTGCTCTCAGTGTGTGCCACGGTGACAGGATGACTCGCATGGGACACTGGGGCTCACTCTAAGACACAGGCTGGCAGAGGGTGGGATAAGATGCTCCACCAATATACCTATTTCACCAAAGTCTCAACACGCACATGCATACACACACACATGCATGCACACACACACCGCTATATCACGACACAAAGACAACAGCATATGGCATCTAAATAAGAAACATGGGCGCTGTGTGCAACGAAGCCAGTCTAGGTGCCAAGCTGCCACCCGGGCACCGTGAAACCCAGAACGAGTTTCTATGACCATTCCCTCCAAGCCCCAGCGCCATTCTCTATTAAAGCGGATGACAGTGTCTGCATCAAGGGTTAGCAAACGATTAAATGGGTCACACAGCTAAGAGCACTTACCACGGTGCCACATGGGTCCTGCTCAGTAAAAACTCTTAGTCTTGTAGGGTTTGCCTCCACTTTTGCATTTTAATGACACTGTATTATTTGTTATGCGCCTCCCTCCCCAAAATCAATTCTATGTTAAGGACTAATAGAATGCTATTGACTGGACAGGCGCTCAGAGGGGGTGGATGACTCTTGCCCCAGACTGCCAGTCTTTCTGTTGTGTGGGAATATGGTCTCCCTGCACGCTTGGAGATGCTTTGACCCTCTCGGCCCCACGGCTTGTCTACCTGAGGGTTCTTCATTCCCACACTTTCCGGTCGTGTGGAGTCAGGAAGTGAGGTCTGCAGGGGTGGAGTGGGAGACCCCTCCCTTATGCAAAATATCAGCTAAGCACGGAGTCTGTAAGAGACCGGCTTCCTCATCTCCACCGCAAAGGTGCGATCCTGAGCACAGCATCATCTTGTTTAAGGGGTCTTGGACCTGCTAGAGTTGCTGCCTAAGAGGTCTTCCTCCCCCCTCCCCCCGCCATGTGGACACCTGGTCATTGTCCTGAGGATCCGAAAGCAAACTCTCAAAACTGTCAGCTCCCCAGTGTTGGAAGGGTGAGAGGACCTGACGATGGTGAGGGGGTCCCCGCTCTCAGGACAGGCGCAGCAAGTTCACGTACCTGCTGCCCTTGCTCTCTCCCCACCTGCCGCTTCTGCTCTTCATCAGCCTTATTTCCTATGAGGATCTTCTGGACTCCTTCCGGGGCATACTAAGGACAAGACAGAGACGGGCCTAAGGGAGTGCTCCTCTTCATTCCCAGCTCCCCCATACCGTCTCCACTGGCCTCTAAACCCCCAAGCCCAAGAACCCTAGGGACAGAGTAGCTGACTGGGTACAGAGAGCAGGCTACCAGCATACAAGAGCCCCAGGACCCTTATCTGTGGTTTTGTTTTCCACAATTTCAATTACCATCAGTCAGCCCTGAACTAAAAATATTAAATGCAAAATTCCAGAAATAAACAATTCCTAAGTATTATATTATATTATTATAGCACATTGCAATTTTGCTATTGTTGCCGTTATTTTTTTTTACTTTGTCTAATTTATATATTTTGCCACAAGTACTCAAGACTAGGGAAAGCTAACATATAAAGGGTTTGGTACTATCTGTCCTTCTCAGCTTCCATTGTGAGTCTGAGAATTGAGCGTCATGAAGACTAGAATACCATGACTGACCCCAAGAATGTCACAGGGACAGCTTAGGGCAGGAGATGCTAATACAGATGCCTCGTTGGACTGAACAAATGGTGTCTGAACTGCAAGGTTTGGGGACCCAAAGAGCTGAAATGGTTTCCCAAGGCTTCCTCCACCATGTGCAGAGGCAGGTCTGGTAGCCCAGACTTGTAATTAGATCCGGGCCTGAGGTTTTGAGGAAGACGCTGCCCATGAAGCAGTCTTGGGACTAATGCATGTCCAAGAATGAATGGCACAGCTACGGAAGCCTAAGAGGGCATTGCACATGAGGGTAGGGAAGGTTCGGCTTTTTCCACACAGCTTACCCAAAGGTCTCTATCCAAAGTCATAAAAGACAAGACTGTGTTGGCCAACCGTGAGAGCTTGTTTTACCCCCGGGCCCTTGTTTTGCCTTTCCCTGAGGTGCCTTCCCCCAATCCCATCAGTGAGGCAGAACCTCCTACCTCATCCACGTCACTGACCCACTTCATGATGTGCTGGTAGGAGCGCTCGCTGCTAATGTCATAGACTAAAAATATTCCCTAAGAGGGGGAAAAAAGAGAGAGACAGACACAGTAGAATGTGCAGACATGGGGCCAGACCAGTGGTCCTTCTATGTCCAGCCCGCTCTCCCTTTTCTCTGCCTACAGTGAGGGCTCCTCAGCATGCAGACACGCTTCCTTTCCCCTCAGATGTTCACAGCTGCCACTCTGTAGGCCCCTCACGGAATTCTTAGATAGGAAGACAGCATGTGAGTCCAGACAGAAGGGGGAGGTGTTGTGGGAATTCATTCAGCCAATAGCTTTTTAGATACCAGCCTATTAGGGCAGGGTCTGAGGTACTATAAGCCCAGACAGGAAGCGTCCTCAGCCCTTTTTCCTTTTGGTGGTTCGAGTTTGGTTTGCAGCTCCCAGCGCCCACAGAACAGAGGAACACAGGGGCTCTCTTACCGTGAGTGTTCCCCAATAAGCATTGGTTAACCCTTTATTATGGGCTCTCGGGGACCTTCCTTTAACTGCGCAACACATGAGTTGACCTGAGTCTTTGGCTTGGGGTAAAGGGTCAAGAGTGGAGGGTGTGTGTAGGAGTGATGAGCCAGCTACACCAAGTGGTCTGTGACTAACTGAAGAACAGAGTGAGAGGCTGGGTTTACCCAGCAGGCAATCTGCGGACCCTGTTTAGAGACACAGGCATCTCAAACACCACACTGGAAGTGTGGAGAGCAGCTTCCCAGCTCTACCCCTGAGATGGTGACTCACCTGGGCCCTCCGATAGTACTGCTTCGTGATGGTCTGGTACCTCTCCTGCCCTGCTGTGTCCCTGCAAGAGAAAACCAATCCCTCAGAAGAGACCTTGGGGACAGACAATGAGGGAGGCGCAGGAGCTAGGATCCCCTGTATCCTAGGAGGAAAAGCTGGGGAATTTCAGGGTAAAAACTTAATAGTTCTCTAATCCCCAAGAGTACAAAACACACCGAGTCTGCAGTGAGAGGCCTGGTCCTTGATATGGGCACAGGCAAGGCCAGCAGGGCCTCGGCCTCTTCTCAGAGGTACCCACAGCTCTCCAGAACTCAGCGACTGTGATGGGAGGATGTCTTACACACCCAGTGTCCAGGGCATCGCTAAAGGCAGTTCCCATGGCATTCTAGGATTGAGAGGTAGCTCCATAAACTGGTGAGGGTTTCTAAGACCTTTAAGGCCAGAAAGCCACAGCAGCCCCTGGTGGCCAAAAGTGGAAACTGCACTATGTAGTACTGAGGCATTCTGAAAAAACAAAACAAACCGGTCCCAATCTAAACCGGGGAGTGGCGCTTTCTGCCACAGTGGTACCGCTCCACAGTAAAGCCCAACTCAGAGGGACACCCACAGCGCTTATTTTCCTAGCTCCTAATTCCTTTCCTTTGATGACTTCCCATCAATCCCATAGTTTGCTGAGACTAAGGTTCATAGAACAAGGCATGGGTGTTTCTGATCTCACTCTTCACTGAGATATCCCAGTTACCCCAGATGAAGCTTAAGAGGATTTTATAAATGACAGTATACTCAGGCACAGCTCAGAGTCCCCCCCTCCTTTCCTGGCCTCCTCCTGCTGCCCAACTCACCAAATCTGTATCCGCACTTTGATGCCGTCGACTTCGATGGTCTTCATCTTAAAGTCGACACCTGGAGAAAGTGTGCACGTTAGGAAGGGGGCTCCCTAGAAGAAGGCCTGAGATACCCACGTGGAAGGGCTTTCGCTTTGACCGGAAGCAAGGACCTTGTCTAACACGTTTACTAAACAGACCCTAGAGAGGCACCTAGAGCTTTGGATGAGGCTTTCATTTCCTCAGCAGTGAAAAGTGGGAACATCGCAAATCATCTTCGGGTTGCTAAGAAGACCCTAAGCCACAGCGCTGGCCCGCAACACTCCGCTGCAGCCCTCATTGACCCAGTGCGGTGCGTGGTAGGTACACAAAGCCTGTCAGCTGACGAAAGGAAGAAGCAGGAAGGCACAGGAAGCCCCGGTTCTCGGGTTTCTCTGCCCAAGGCTCTGAAGAGCTGACTTCCAGTCACACCAGATTTTAGGGCCCAGAGCAGAAACACCTGAGGAGAACTACAAGAAGAGTCAGCGCCATCAGCCACAGCAGGCTTAACTGCGCATGCGGACAGGACAAAGAGAGATGCCTGGATGACCAGGCCTTCTGCCAGCTCAGTGTGCCCAGTGATTCAAGAGCGGGGTCTAATGCGGTAAACTGGCAGGTTTGTGTATTTCCTGACAGCAGGTCACAGGGTACCCTAATCCACAGTCTTCAGCTGGGGAACATGGGAAAGGTACAATGTGGCCTGTCCATCACCAGCTGCATCCCAATGGTGCCAGCATTTGCAACACTGCGGCCATCTACTGCCACATGTGGGCTTTGCTGAGCAGCAAGGCATGGTCCCTTATCTCCCCTGTCCCTGGCTTCCACAAAGCCAGACATCACAGTCAGCCTCTTTCCTCCCACTAAGAGCAATCATTGTTTAATTAGAAGGGAGAAAAGGCTTCAGAATGGAAGACCTGAGCTAAATCAAGTCGGTCAGATGTGAATCATTTGTCGCCTGCCTGAGCTGATTCATACCTACTCAGCTGTACTTTTCCAAATGGCATTCGTCCCTGTGTAAAGAGAAAGGGTGACGAAGAGGAAGAGGACAAAAGGAGAGGGACACCTGGCCCTGGTGGGAGGCAGCAGCCAGCATCCTCCCTCCTTGGACAAATGGTTATAAAGAATTGGCCTCTCCCCAGAGCCTGACACAGGAGGTAATCAAGAATCACGAAGTTCTCGTTGTTTCAATGTACGGTACCTTCTTCCAAAAAGGAACCTACCTCACCCTCATAGTCTGGGCAAGAACATGCCCTGCTCAAAGTAGTCCCAGGAGAGGAGGGAGGTAGATGGCTTTACTGCCTCTATTCCTGAACATCTGTGACAGTTGCCTTTGTGCCCTGCACAGGTCTCCGTGTGGGCATAGCAACGAGGACACAAGGTCCCTTCCCTTACAAAGGCCCAGATGCACATAACCTGCCTGAGGTTGGCACAGCATGTATCAAGTTTCCAATTGTCAGACTGTACTGCTTCCTGGAGGGACTGAGGGGAGAGTTATGTGTTAGCATGTGACCTCCACAGGGAAACAGTAGTGATAGCTAATATTGACAGGCTCTAGGATATAGATCCTGGGATCACAAGCCTCTAGGAGTGCCTGCAAGGGGGTCTCTAGACTGTATCAACGGAGGTAGGACGATTCACCCCAAATGTGGGTGATACCACTTCAGGGTTGGGGGTCCTGGGCTGACTAAAAATGGGAAGGCAAGCAGGGCAGGAGTATTCATCTCCTTCTGCTTCCTGCCTGGAGATGCCATGCGATTCCTGTCACAGTGTCAAAGATGTAAAAAGAGAAATCTTCACTGTTTCATTTTCTGGTTTCCTGGGAGTCCTTGAAAGGAAGGGCTCTGCTGAGAGGGGAGCTTCCAGTGCTAAGGAGACAGTTTCCTTGGGAGAGAGGAGGGAGGAAATGAGGCAAAAGCTGTGAGAAGGGGCAGGAGGGGTAAGCAGATGAGGAGTTCTAGGAGCGAGTGCTGGGTCCTGATTAGCTCACTTCAGAGCTGCATGGGCCAGAGTCAAGACTGGGCAATTCTGGGGATCCCAGCCGTCTCCCCTCACAGATGGCACTGCAGCCTAGCCACTCTCAGTTTTGTTTTACTCTGTCTGAGAAATAAAGGATTCCCACTTGGTCTATCTATACGCAATCAAGTATGAGGGAAGGAATAGTCCGTGTCTTCTGAACAATTTTTCCCACCTTTAAATATAAAAAATTTATATTTATAAATATAATCTCCAATGGCATGTACTCACTCTTTCTCTATGTCCTCCTACACCCAGAACTTCCACTGTATCCATCCTACCAACGGAACCCTGGTCTAATGCCACGCGCTGACCGCAGCTCTCGCTCTATCCCGCATGACTGTTGGGTTTGTTTGTTTGCTTGCTTTTCCCATTGCAAGACAGAATCAAAACTCCTGCCTGACAGAGTCCCCTGGAGACTCAAGCTTTCCTACCTCAGCCCTATTGGCTGCTGGGCCAGCTACTTATTCAGCCACATCCTCCTGCGACCGTCCTCCCTAGGAAGTCTTCAGCCCCTGAATGCCATCTCCCCATGCAGACTCTCCGACTCTCTGCAGAGTGTTCACAGCCTGCCTCTCAGGCCTACCACCTCCCGTCCTTCCTCACACAAGAGTCCTCCCTCAGGCTCCTCCTCCTAACAGGAGGCTCCTCCCTGTTGCTGCTTTTGCATCTTTTAGGAAGAAGGGATAGTGTCCATCTACCTCCACCCCAGGGCTCACTCCTGCCTGGCCCGAGACAGTGTTAAACCGCACACAGATTGGAATTCAGGAGTTGTGAGGGGAAGCCTGAGGAGTTGTATCAAAGCCTCGGGAGAGAGGAGGCATGGATTGTAACTTGATCGGGAGCTCATAGGACAATAGTTTCCAAAGTGTATTCTGGGACTTGGAGCCTTATAGTATCACCTTGGATTTAGAAAGGCAGAAGCCTGGGTCCTGCTTCAGACTTGAAGAATCAGGGCCCCGGAGATGTGAGACCCCGCTGTCTGTTTCAGAAGCTCCCAGGAGATTCCCGCACATCTTAAGTTTGCCAGCCACGTGGCTCAAAAGCTTTGCACCTGAACCGCCAAGGAAGGCGGCGGCGCGGGCAGTCTCTCTCAATGTGTATTTTGCAGATCCTTGGCTAAATTTAGAATCACCCAGGAGATTCCTTTTTCATTTTAATGCAGCTACCTTGAAACATAAATAATAAAATTAAGGAAAAAAAAAAGAAATATAAGTACCGTAACCGGCCTAAATCTACCCAGTCAGAATTTAATTAAGGCCTGGAAACTGTATTTTTAACAGCACTGTGTAGGACAGCGGTTCTCAACCTTCCTAATGCTGCGCTCCTTTAATACAGGTTCCTCATTTTGTGGTGACCCCACCACCACCACAAAATTATTTTCATTGCTGCTTCAGAACTGTAATTTTGCTACTGTTATGAATCATAATGTAAATATTTGTGTGTTCCCAATGGTCTGAGGGTCATTTGACCCCCCCCAGAGGGTAGCAACCCACAGGCTGAGAACCACTAGTGTAGCATATGGCAGGAAATTAGCTAGAGGGAAGTCTGAGAACATAACGTAGAGGATGAGACATTACTCAGCCCTGGATTCAGAAAGACCTGGGTCTGAATCCTGAGTTGGGAGCTTAACGTATGACTGTAGAAAAGTCATTTCTCCCAGTTTCCATTTTCTTATCACTAGAATGGGAATCCCACTTGCCTCTCAAGGTGTGCTGTGGGCGTACGTAAACAATGAGTACCTAACATGCAGCTCACAGAGGTGCCCATTCCCACGATGGTGAACTAAATGCCAGCGTTCCCCACAGGCTCAGATGTTTGAATGCTTGGTTCTCAGTTGGTAGCACTGTTTGGCTAGGCTTTAGGAGGCGTGGCCTTGCTGAAGGTATGGGCATTGAGCTTTCAAGGCCTGAGGTCATTACCAGTGAGTACTCTCTGCTTCCTACTTGCAGTTCAAGATGTGAGCCCTCAGCTTCTGCTCTAGCCATTATGTCTGCTACTAACCATGGTGGAGTCTGATCCCTCTGAGATCATAAGTCAAATAAACTCTTCCTTCTCTAGGTTGTGCTGGTCACAGTGTTCTATCACAGCAGCAGAAGTTACTGGCTCATCTACCTTCCCTCTACAAATAAGACTCTTGGAAGCATGGAGCTGGAAACCTGAGAACCCACCACAAATGGGATTTCACCAGCAGCAGGAACCTCATGAGATGCAAATTCTCGGGGCCCAGACCTGTCAGATCTTATGTGTGCTGAAGTAGCCAATCCCCAGGCAGAACCACACCCAAGGCTCTTAGTAACACTTATCTTTATATATATTTTTTAAAAAAAGATGTCTCTTGGCTACAGAATCCCAGGGAAGCACGTAGGTGTGGAGGTTGCTATTGTAAGATGTGGAGAGATCAATCTATTCATGCCCCCATGCCCTATAGCTGAGTCAGAACTGGAAAAACCTGTCTCAAAATCTGCCCAGGATGTTCTTGACTCAGCCAGACACTTCCAACTCTTTGAGGCTGAGGAATCATGTTGCTTATTTGTTTACACTTGGTCTGATAGCTTGAGGCCCTCAGAAGTGAGGAAGCGGGCATGCACAGGGCAAGCCGGTAGCTATGGTCCCAGTGTCCACAACTCCCCTCCCATTCATTTGCTAAGATGCAGTGATGCTGGGAAAATGCTTTGGTGAGGTAATTCAATCAGGTCGACAAGGGCCCTCAGAACTGAGACTAGAGTCCCTTTTAAAAGAGACCTCAGGATGGTGCACACCTTTAATCCCAGCACTAGGTAGGCAGAGGTAGGTGGATGAAGGATGAATTTGAAGTCAGCCTGGTCTACCAAGTCTACATGGTGAGACCTTGTCTCAGAAAACATAAAGCAAAACAATAACAAAATACATTTAGAGATAATAATAATAATGATAATGATGATAATAATAAAGAGCCCCTGGGCAGTTAGCCCCTTTGCCTTCTGCCATAGAAGGAGCCATCTTTGTAGCAGAGGGAGTCCTTAGCCGGCAATGAATCCGCTCACA